ACCAATATTGTACTTACAACTGTCCCAACTGTTTATTCTAGTTCCAAATTGCAAATGAATGTACACCAACTCTATGAGCAGAAGACCCAGTTTCAAATGCCACTCTTTCTCTTCCCTGATGTGGCGGTTAGAGTAAGAATGCCCCCATAGGACCATATATTTGAATGATTAGTAGTGGCACTACTTGAAAAAGATTGGTAGGTGTGGCCTTGTTAAAGGAAGTGTGACACTGGGGGTGGGCTTTAAGGTTTTAAAAGTCCACACCAGGGGCTAGAGAGATGGCTCAGTGGTTAAGAACACTAGCTGCTCTTTCCAGGGATCCTGAGTTCAATTCCCAGCAACCACATGATGGCTCACAACCATCTGAGGTGAGATCTGGTGTCCTCTTCTGGCCTGCAGGGACACTGTATACATAATAAATAAACCTTAAAAACAAAAGTCTATATCAGATCCAGCACCCATGCTCCCCAACATAGTGACAATGGAATAACCCTCTGAAACTGTAAGCAAGGCCCAATTAAATGTTTTCTAAGAGTTGCTGTAGTCATGGTGTCTCTTCACAGCAGTAGAACAGTAAGACACCTGATATCTCTAAATCTTTCCATCTTTCTTATGCTTACAATGAAGCAAAAACCAGACATGGTGGTTCACGCCTTTAATCCCAGCATTCTGGAGGACACAGAGAAGCAGGAAGATTTCTATGAGTTCAAGGCCAACCTAGCCTACATAGTAAGTTCCAGGATAGCCAGAGCAACATAGTGAGACCCTGTCTCAAAACAAACAAAACCCCAAAATGAAGAAGCAGATTTCAAAGCTCTCAAAACACTAACCTAAACTGGGCGTTGGTGGCGCACACCTTTAATCCCAGCACTCAGGAGGCAGAGGCAGGCGGATCTCTGGGGAAAACCCTGCCCGAAAAAAAAAAAAAAAAAAAAAAAAAAAAAAAAAAAAAAACTATTCTAGGTTCACCCCACTTTACCTGGAGGCTCACCTTCAGAGAAGTTGCCAGGTAAAGTGCCGGTTACCAAGAGTTTTTCAAATCCTAAACCTCTTTAAACTCCAAAAGAAAGAAAACAGGGGGAAAAAAGAAGTAAAAAGATATATCCTCAACAGAAATGGTCCTATATTCCCCATTTCACAAACTAACTTTGAAGTAATGAAACTGTCGCTTTAAATGGCTTATTAATCTGAGTTATAATATTACAAACTAAGGATTTGGTGATAAAATCTACTAGGTCAGGTCAGCCAACTTGACTTCAAGGGCTGTGAAACTACAGGCTATTAGGATACTCTTCATTGGTGTGGTGTTAACTTTGTCAAAAATCAACATAAGCATTGGAAGCCAAAAGCAACTTCATACTGTCCTTAAAATTGGATTTAGGGCTTTAAATCCAATTCACCTTTTAACAAATTTTCTTTGAGATCTTGTTTTGACAGGTAGGCTAGACTTGAACTTACTGTGTGAGGCTGGCCTCATGGCTGAGACCCTCCAGGCTTGTAAAAACTGGGATCTCAGGGATGTGTCACTATGCTCACTACAATCAATTCATAACAAGGCCCAGAATGAAACACACAAATTTCATGATAAAGGAAGAAGTCTAGGACATTAACCATCTTACTGCAGTATCTGAGGTAAACTAGAACCACAGTACAAACAAGGAAATAAATACAAAACACAAGGATTTAGCTAATACTGATTGCATATAATTTTCAAGCAACCTTTTAAACTAGGTGTCCCCCCTTTTTTTTAAATTTACTGAACACCCCAAATAATTTTATGAAACAGGTGATAAAAATTTGTGTCCCTTCAGGAACATCTCCACCCTAAGGACCTATTATACCGTGGCTTGCTTGAACACTATAGGTATGATTAAAGTATTTAAAATAGTGGCTATAATTTTCCAGACAAGTCCATCCAAACTCTTCAAGCTCGACTACTCAGAAGCAGCCAGTTCAAATTACTACTGCACTATGACAACTCGGGTTTTTCTCCATCTGATATTTAGGAAGGAGGTGACTAAGAAGGAAGAAAAAGGACATAATTAGTTTTGCTTGTAAAATGTTCATCACAGTTGTACTTGCCAACTGAGTTACAGCCTATTGGGGGCCTAATAGATTTCAGGTTATTATGGTTTGAGGCGGGGGCTTGTGGTGAAAATCAATAAATGACTACTACTTCTTTGCACAGCCCATATGGAAGTAATCAAGCGCAAGGGTGGCAGCTGGGGCCAGTAACAGTCACCTGCAGTTGAGGGACATGGGGTTTCAGATGGATTTAATGCTAATTTCCTACAGAAACAATGAGCTACAAAGAGCAGAGTAACAGACAGGAGGGATGAAGAGACCAGCCACAACAATGGCTGCACCTGGTGCTGGGAGCAGAGGACACATCTGTCACCCTCGAAGTGGCCCATCCCCCAGCTCTTCCAGCAAAGTAAGGCAAGGTCCCTAAACAGCTTGCCACACACACAGCAACAGGTTTGAGTTTTTAAGGCTACTACATTCTGTACTGAACCCCTCTCTCTTGTGACAAGAATTAGTTAAGGAAGCAGAGGTAGTTCCATCAATCTGAAAAGAGACATATTAAAAAACATTCAGATTCCAATTAAACTTTTTTCATTACTATGACTTATCAATGTTGGAAGGGCAAAGACAAATTACACAGGAAGATAAACTTTATTAAGTATTCATGTAGCATATATTAATTTAATGCTTAAAACTCATTTTACTACAATTTTACAGTTGAAGAAACAGGCTTAGAGGATGTTAGAATCAACGCTCATGGTTACACAACCTAATCTAATGCTAAAGCCTACATACACTAATTTTCTTTCTTCATTTTTCTTAACACTAATTTTCTTTCTTCATTTTTCTTAACACAATCAAGTGAAAATTGTCTAAATCTAGGCATTGTACTACATGATTGTAATCCCAGTACTTGGTAGAGGCAGGAGGTAGAAGCAGGAGGATCAGAAGATCAAAGCTATCCTCAGCTATACAGAGGTCAAGGCCAGCCTGGGCTACAGGAGAACCTATTTCTAACAAACAAAGAAAAAAGAAAACACATACTCCACTTACATTTTAGCTCCAGCTATGAGATGTCACTGCAGGTAGCATGTATCCATGTTTTACACAGAACTGTACCCCACCTTGCTAACAAGCTGCTCAGGATGGGAAGAAAACAGCATTTTCACTAATGGTTGCTTTAAACTAAGCACAAAAAGTCCTAGGGATGGGGAGTGCTTGCTTTAGAAAACCAGACCCATATGCATTTTCAATTTCCTCGAATAAATCTGTCAAAACAAAGTGTGTGTGTGTGTGTGTGTGTGTGTGTGTGTGTGTGTGTGTGTGTGTGTGTGTGTACACTTTGATTGCTGGGTACTAAACACAGGGCCTTTACACACTCAGGACCTGTGGCTGACTATTTTACTGGTGCTATGGCTTGAACCTAGGACCTAATACATGCATTTTTACTACAGTCTCCATAGACACTTTTTATTCATTTTGAGACAAAGTCTCACTAAATTGCCCAGGCTGACCTTGAACCTACTCTGTAGTCCTGCTAGGCTTTGAACTTTTGATTCTACTGAGAAGCCAGTAGTATAGGCCTGCCTGCACTACCAGGCCCAGTTAATAACATAGTTCTTAAAAGTTAACTGTCGGGGTTGGAGAAATGGCTCAGAGGTTAAGAGCACTCACTGCTCTTCCAGAGGACCTGAGTTCAATTCCCAGAAACCACATGGCAACTCACAACCATCTGTAATGAGATCTGGTGCCCTCTTCTGAGCTGCAGGAATATATGCAGACAGAATACTGTATACATAATAAATAAATAAATCTTTAAAAAATTTTCCAGTCCATCAGTCAGTAACTCTATGTAAAACCCAGTTAGCAGTTTTTTTTTTCTTTAAGACACAACCACTATTAATTCCTTTATTTATTGATTTGAACTTGGAGCAGAAATAAACCACAAATTCAAGGGGAAAAATACGTATGTATTTTGCTAAATGCCTTACAATCAAACAACTGTGCTTGGATCTGAAAGATAGCAATAGAAAGGGATAGATTTCAAACACAGCAAAGGCACCGGAGAACATTAAACAGTTAAGAGACTTCCAGAGGACCAAATTCAGTTCTTTGGACGTATCTGGTGACTCACAACCACCTGTAACACAAGCTACAAGGGTTTCAATACTTTTGACCTCTTTGGGCACCTGCACTCACATGCTGATGCTCCCACAAAGATATATACACATAATTTAAAAATAAAAGTTGGAGCTGGAGAGATGGCTCAGCAGTTAAGAGCACTAACTGATCTTCTAGAGGACCCTGGTTCAATTCCTAGTACCCCCACAAGGCAGCTCACAACTGTCGGTAACTCCATGATTCAACACCCTCACACAAGATATACATGCAGGCAAAACACCAATGCACATAATAATAATAATAATAATAATAATAATAATAATAATAATAATAAAATTAAAAGAAACAACAAAAACGCATACCATACTACTGAGTATGGTGGCACATACTTGTAATCTCAGCAGCTGTGAGTAATCAGGAAGATTAGGAGCTAAAGACCAGCCTTGGCTACATAATGAGTTCAAGACCAGTCTAGATCATAAGATCCCCCCATCCCAATCAAAAATATAGAAGAAAAAAACTAGTGTAACTATGCAATTGATAAAATTAAGGTACTGAAATCTGGGCCAGGGAGAACTTTCTTCCCCCCCTCCCCATGCAAGCACCTTGCTGGGGATTGAAACTAGTTTCTTTCTTTCTTTTAAAGATTTTATTTATTATTATGTATACAGTGTTCTGCCTGCATGCTAGTCAGAAGAGGGTACCAGATCTCATTATAGATGGTTGTGAGCCACCATGTGGTTGCTGGGAATTGAACTCAGGACCTCTGGAAGAGCAGTCCGTCTGAAACTAGTATATTTCTATCTGCCCATCATTCCCCCAATAAAGCACAAGGATTCCAAATCAAATGTTACCTCCTCTCCAAAGGATTTGATTCCCTCTGTTGGCAATGACTTCTAGAACTTATTGATTTTGTGCATTCTTAATTTATCTCCTCTACGATCTCACCTTTAAATAAAAAAAAAGTCTGGGCTAGAGAGATGGTTCAGTTGTTAAAGGCTGGGTTCACAACCAAAAATAATAATAATAATAATAATTATATGTATTTATATACAAAAAAGCCTAAACTGGGCACAACGGTTCACACCCACATCTATAATCACAGCATTGGGAGGTGCAGACATGAGGATCCTCTAAATCCATTCAAGTACTCCATAGCTACCTGGGAAGGAATTCAAATACTAGCACTGAGTTCCTGTCTTAACATCTTCCCCTGTCTACCCCCCAAAATATCAAAACTAGGTATGGTGGTTCACATCTGAAATCCCAGGACCTGTGAAAGCATGGCCAGCTTGGACAACTCGGCAAAACCTTATCAGAAAATACTAAGAAAAAATTCCAAATAACTTCAAGATATCATGAACACATATAATCACCTTTACTCCCAGCACTTGGGAGGCAGAGGATCTTTGTGAGTTCCAGGACAGCCAGGGCTGCACACAGAAAAACCCTGTCTCAAAAATAAAATAAAGAATTTGTAAAATGTTGGGTGTTGTGGTATACACCTTTTAATCCCAGAAACCAGAATTAATAACAAGAGGGTCTCTGTAAATTCCAGGCTAGCCAGGCTACACAGTGAGACCCTGTCAAATAAATAAATAAATAGGTAGATAGACAAAATAAGACAGTACGACGAATATTCTGGAAATCCAGAATACCATTCTAAGCTCAGCCACTGGTTATTAAAAACTATGGGGCCAGGGAGGATTCTCTCCCCTTCCTCATACATGCACCTTGCTGGAGACTGAAACTAGCACATGACTGGGCAATGCTCTACCGATGACCATTCATTCCCTCAGCTTAAGATATAATAATGCATTTAATAAGATTATACAAAAATAAAGAACCTTGGTATGGGGAAAAGGCTGCAATGGCAGAAGTCAGATTTGAGGGGGCAGAGAGGTAAGTGGGGTCAGAATGAATGACGTGAAATCCACGAAGAATCAATGAAAGTTAAAAATAAAGAGAACCTTCCCTGGGCCCACCAATATGACTTGGAGGTAAAGAGCCTAGCAATCTTAGCTTAATCTCTGAAACCCTCATTGTGGAAGAAGAAACTGACTCCTGCAAGCTGTCCTCTGGTTTCCACATATGGGGCTTTCTCAGTCCACAGAAAATACTATGACTTTCCTCAGTAATATTTAACTCAAAAGATTTTTTTTGGTTATGGGTTGGAGAGATGGCTCAGTAGTTAAAGAGTGCTTACTGCTCTACCAAAGAACCCTGCAACCAACCCACTAGGCAGTTCACAAACACCTCTAACTCCTGTTCCAAGGGGCATACCCCCCACTACACCTCCATAGGGCCTGTGCAAGTGCACACTTGATTCACTCATGTGCCCACACATAAAAGGTAACAAATCTTAAAAAAAAAAAAAATGGTATAATCTTATTGGTTTATTTGTTTTGAAACAGGGTCTTTCTTTTCAAAGGGCATCCTGGAACTTGACTTGTAGATCAAGCTGGCCTTGAACTCATAGAGATCCTCCTGTTTGTGATTCCTGGAGTTCTAGAATTGACAGCAAGTGCCACTGGGCCTGGTTTTGATTTTAACTGCTGAGCCTTAGGTGGGACTCCCACCCACAAGCGAACACGGAACTCAGGGCCTCATCTCACCCAATCAGGACTGTTAATCAAACACTTTTATTTGGGGTCCATGGATTATTATATTAGTCAGATGTGATAAAATAACCTGTTATCCAAGCATTTGGGAGGCTGACTGGAAAATTACTGTTAGTTTAAGACCTGGCTGGGCTACATACATAGTTCTATGCCAAACCTGGACCAATGTATTCCTGAGGGCTAGGAACTTAGCCACTAATAGCTGATAGAACACATGCTTTTTTAGCATGCACAAGGTCTTAGATGAAATCCTGAGCCTCAAAATATGAAACATTATTGCCAGAATGGACATATAGCAGTAATAATTTTAAAAAATAAACCTTTTTAGGCTCTCCCATATCAGACTACAGCCTACACTACACTTTCAGCATTAAGTCCTTTTCTCCCCATTCATCTTCAAGAACATAGGTCCTAAAGATACAATACTGTTCACTGAAGGAGGACCATGTAAATTTGATGTTACATTATAGCCTCTCAAATAGTCAAACAAGTCTCAGCTGCTGTCCACTGCACCTATCAAAACTTCCTAAATTTGTTCTACAAATTCAGTCAATTTAACATTAAAGAAATTTCTAAAAAGATCCATTTAAAGCTGGGCATGATGGTGGCACACACCTTTAATCCCAGAGCTTGGGAGGCAGAGGCAGGCAAATCTCTGAGTCCGAGGCTAGCCTGGTCTACAGAGAGCCAGGGCTACCAGTGATACACAGAGCAACCCTATCTTGAAAAACGAAAAAACAAAACAAGCAAACAAACAAAATCCATTTAAAAAGTTCTTACTACTTGAGGGAAATGGAGGTAAAACTCCATTTTTTAGAGAGAAGAGAATGTGAGCATTATGCTGCATTACAGTGCATTACAGCCAGGTGCATGCCTGTTCTCCTAACCCAGGAGGCACACAGGGTATTGCTACAAGTCTGAGGCCAAGAGAGCCTACAAAGCAAATTCCAGCTACTGAGGGATACTGAGACACCCAGTCTTTAATTAAACAAACAAAAAGCACTACAGTTTCCTTAAAATGCTCAGGTGATATAAAGCTGAAGAACTTTACTGAATAAAAGTTATTGGGGAGTAGAGTGATGGCTCAGAAGTTAAGAACTCTGGATACTCTTCTGAAGAAGCAAGACACAGAGTGGCACACAGCCATCTGCAACTCTAATTCCAGGGGATCCCATGCCCTCTTTTGACTTCTATGAACACAGGCTTGCAGGTGGTGCATATATATGCGGCCAAAACACTCATACACCTAAAATACTAAAAATTATTTAAAAAGAAATGTTATTTTAAAAGCTCCCATTTGTCATGTCATAGAATTTTGGGGGAGCCAGGTACAATTTAAATAGTGACGACTAGTGAGATGGCTCAGTGGGTAAAGGCCCTTTGCAGCCAAGCCTGACATGACCTAAATTTGATTCCTGGAACCCACACAATGGATAGAAAAAACAGCAATAGACAAATAAACATAAAAATATTTTTGAGGGGTAGGTGATAGGTAGAGTTTTAGTTGGGGGGGTGATAAGGAAGGAGGGAGAGGGAACTAACTGGGTTTGACATGTAAAACAATCTTCTTTCTAATTCAAAAAAAAGAAAAAAGAAAATATTTTTTAAATAAACATGCTCTTTCAAAGTAATACAATCAATACTTCACTTGGATAAGTTGACTTTTCAAAGGTCTTCTATTCTGGTGCAGTTAAAGGGAATATTTATTACATTTGCATTTTATACTCAGAATGCTTTCCAAACTCTACAGTCATAGAAAGGCTTAGCAAAGATGACATACACCACAACAAATACAAACTATCTAAAAGGTGGGTGCAGGGTCTGAAGAGATGGACCTGGGTTCAATTCCCAGCACCCACAATGCAGCTGACAACCATCTCTAACTCCAGTTCTAGGGGATCTTTTCTGGCCTCTGTGGGCATCAGGCATCTGTGTGGTACAGATACACATGCAGTCAAAATAATACCCTGAAATCACAAGTTAGACCAGATACAGTTATAGCTCAATATGGAAGTGAAAAGGGTTTAGGAACCTGCCACAACAACATAAATAAATAAATAAATAAATAAATAAATAAATAAATAAATAAATAAATAAATACCTCAAAAAATTTTAAGCTGCCTTCCATGTGCTGGAAAGGCTCTGGACACATTTCCCCACTACCGTCACAAATTGGGAGTCAGCTGGCTGTGGTGGCACATGCCTTTAGGGAGACAGGGGAGGGTGGATCTCTGTGAGTGGGAAGCTAGCCTGGTGTACCTAGATACATAGTAAGATCCAGTTGAGAAAGAGAAAAAAGGGAGCTGCAGGCAGGAAAGCAAACAAACCAAATGGGGCTCAGAGCAGCAGATTGCACAAGATGAGAAAACTAAGAAATAAAACCTATATATACAGTATATACTAAACTCAGGTTCTACATGTAGGGGGCTGATTGGGAAGTCTTTCAAAAATTAGTAACACTATATAAATAACCAATAGGCATCAAAACTGACAAAGACTCCAGAACATAGTAGGGGTTGAAGAGGGGTGTGTGTTGTGTGTGTGTGTGTGTGTGTGTGTGTGTTGTGAGCACACTCCTGAGCACTCCAATTCACAATTCAAGTCTGATTTGATGTTATTTCAGTCATAGAAAAATAGTATAGGAGCAAAACATAACAAGATGTAAATAAAATGCAGAGAGGACACTAGCTTTGCTGCAATCTCTTTTAGTTACATGTCTGATTACTTTGAAATAAAATCTGACAATGGAAAAGAGCATTGTAGCAGTCTTCTCTTTATACATAACTTCACTGCTTTTATACATAACTTAAGAAAAAGCAATTCCCTCAGAATATGCCAGAAGTATTCAATATGGGAGAGCTTAAAGAAGTATTTGTAGGACTACTTTTCTAACTGTAGAATTATGAACTACATCTGATTTTAACTAAACTTTCCATTCAAAAATGCAAAGGTGGCAATGAAAAATTAAATAGAAACATAAAACCAAATGAAGCATCAAAATGAAACCAGGACTAAACCCACAGAATATCCATAAACACACAATTCGAGATAAGCAAAAAGCTTTGGAATGGCAGAATTGTGCACTTTATCACCCAGAACTAAATTAAAATGTACACTTACCCTGAATGTCCAAATTAAAAACTCCAGACGCGTAAATATACCAAATCTACTTGAAATAGGTATTAAAAAGCTCTCTTTTCTCCCCCTAATCTTCAAAGCCCAATCGCAGACCAGCCTTCCTCCTCCTTTCATTAGCTGGACATGTGTCAGCTCTCTCACATCTGCGATTTCTCACTGACTAGAGCTGCCTGTCCCATTCCAGGGAAA